TGATGGTGTGCATTGTTGGTAAGGGTGGGCAGGCCAGTGACTAAGAGGTAGGACTGGGCCTACCGTATTGGTCTGACCCTCCTAGATTCTTTTCCTCCTCCTCTTGCAGGTTCATCTATGAACTTGAACACTTCAATGGTGTGGCTGAGCTGCTAGAGATCTTAGGAAGGTGATTTTTCCCTAGCCCGGAGTTCAGGATTCAGGGGTAGGGGGGAAGGCCTGGAGTCCAGTCATCTGAATCCTTCTCCTCTTCTCTGCTCGCTCCTCAGCATCATCAATGGATTTGCACTGCCCCTAAAGACTGAGCACAAGCAGTTCCTGGTTCGTGTCCTGATTCCCTTGCACTCTGTCAAGTCGCTGTCTGTCTTTCATGCCCAGGTGAGACTCAGGCCTGGCCCTGCTGCAGCAGGAGCTCCTGACAGGTCAGGGTACCCAGTGGGGCCCGGAGATCAACCTGACACTCATGGTGTCAGCATACCCCACCTTCTTTGTCTTTACTAGCTCTGTTCCACCCACCTTAGAAATACCTGCTGGCCCTTCAGACATCAGGCATCGGCTCTGTGAGGCCTTCTCCAGCCCCTCCCTTTTCTACCTGCGCTAGGCAGAAGTAAACCCTCCTCCTTTTCTATTCCCAAAGCTGTCATACAGAATTCAGTTTTGAGACCCTTTTCAAAATATATAAAGGCTTGTTTGCTGGATGTTTCTCCTATGAGATCATTGTTGTGGTCCCAGCATTCTGAGCGCAGAGCCTGGTACACCCTAGGCAGGCAGTACATGCCTGGTGAGTAAGAGAACGAGAGAGTAAGTGACTAGTGTCTGTCATCCAGTTCTGGGCAGCCCATTCTTGGCACTATCCTCCTGCTGAGCTCTGTCCTCCTTCTCTCCCACCCCCTGCAGCTGGCATACTGTGTGGTGCAATTCCTGGAGAAGGATGCCACCTTGACAGAACATGTGAGTATTCCTGAGGGAAGGTGGGCCCCCATCTCTGCCTGACTCTGTCTGACTCTTTCCTGCCTCTGCTCCAACAGGTGATCCGGGGGCTGCTCAAATATTGGCCAAAAACCTGCACCCAGAAGGAGGTATGAAGAGGGCTTAGATGTCCCCAGAGGGAGGATAAGGGCTTAGCTCTCAGAAGGTGGTCAAGTGTGTGAGTTGGGGGAGATGTGAGTTGCTACCTCTCTGTTCCTACTCCCCACCCAGGTGATGTTTCTGGGGGAGATGGAAGAGATTCTTGATGTCATTGAGCCCTCGCAGTTCGTGAAGATCCAGGAGCCACTTTTCAAGCAGGTGGCTCGCTGTGTTTCCAGCCCCCATTTCCAGGTACAGGGCTGAGAGAGCAAGGCTGTGGCCTGGAAAGGTTGGCCAGTTTGTCCAACACAGCACCCTCAGTTTCTCATTCTGTCCTGGGTCTGATGATGGGAGATGCTGGACTTAAGATCAAGGGGCCTAGGGTCAATCCTCAGAACTATCTGCCTTCCACTGGCTGTGGGGCCTTGGGCAAATCACTGCACTGCTCTGAATCTGATTAAGCTTCCACATCTGTGAAATGGGCCAACAGTGACATCACAGGTGCTAATAAGGATGGAGGAGAATGCGAGTGTAAGCAACTCGGGTGGCTGAAGTGCGCTCCATTGTGGAGGGGAGGTTTGTTAGCACTCTTCCCCTTTGCTTAGTGGCCTCAGTTTTCATTAGTCCCCCTTTAGGATGCAGCCAGGCTTCCCCACGTCAGCAAGGTGTCACTCATGTTCTCCTGTGTGGATGCAGACTGTCTCCCATTCATACGAGCATAAGCAGGTGAAAGTGAGTTCTTCCTCACAGTGACTCTGGTACTTCAGTTCAGTAAACACCTGAAAGTGCAATAAAAATCATCTGATTCTTACAACAGCCCTTGGGAAGTAGGTCTTATTAGTCCCATTTTACAGATGAGAAAACTGAGGCTGGCAGGTTAAATGCCTCCCCAGTGTCACATGGGCATGGTGGGATTTCATGGGATTTCATGTAGTGAAATCCGACTTTGCCCCTGAGTATTGGGCTCTGAGTCAAGTTCTCTTTATTCCTCACAACGTTGTTTCCTCCAGTAGAGCTCTGAACTCTGAGGTGGGCTGCATGGTAGTCAGGGGCCCTGGGTTTTGGAGTAGAGATAAATACCAGGTTTCACAGAGGAGCCACTGCCAGGCACCTACTCTGCCATCTCACTTGTCCTAGGTTGCAGAGCGGGCTCTGTATTTCTGGAACAATGAGTATATCCTGAGCCTCATTGAGGACAACTGCCACACTGTGCTGCCTGCTGTGTTTGGGACCCTCTATCAAGTTTCCAAGGAGCACTGGAATCAGTGAGTGCCCAGGCTTTGACCTAACCACAGAAATGGGCTGGGGACAGCCAGTCTGGACCCTGAGGTTAGTTCTGGCAGGAGAGGATCAGAGAAAGTGTCAGAAGATTGCAGCAGTGATAAGAGCAGGGAAAGGGCAGTGTTCAGGGCTACATGCTGTGTTTGGGGGATAGGGAAGGTGGGATGACGGAGGGAGAAGGCGAGGAAGTTCTCATCTCCTCAACCCCTTCCTTTGACCCTGCCAAGAACCATCGTGTCTCTGATCTACAATGTGCTCAAGACCTTCATGGAGATGAATGGAAAACTGTTTGATGAGCTCACAGCCTCCTACAAGCTGGAAAAGCAGCAGTAAGTGTGGGGGGCTGGACTAGGGGACAGGGGAGAAAAACTGGAAGGAATCAGATCCTCATGGTCAGAGGGAAGCGTAGAGACTACCCCATGGTTAGAGGGAAGCTTAGAGACTACCCCATGGTCAGAGGGAAGCTTAGAGACTATCCCAAAGCCTGGCTGCTCAGATGTTGAAAGTCTCTTCCTCCTACTCCTGCCAAGTGCTGGGCCATCCCAGGCCCCACTGCCCACTACATCCTTTAGTCATTAGCCAAGTAGTTCTTTCAGGCACTGACCTCTTCTGACTCCCTGGAGCTTCCTCCCCTTCAGTCAGGGCTACTCAGAGCCAGGCCAGCTCACCTGCTCCTGGTCCTAGACTGGGATCAGTCTCTCCTCAGCCATCTTCCCTAAGCAGAGGGTTCCTAAGGGGTCACAAGACAGCAAGTGGTTCTGTGCCCTTTTGCAGGTAGGGCTGTGTGGGGAGCTGGAACCGTGAGGGGTCCCAGATAGGAGAGCTGCCTCACCCTCTTTCTCTAGGGAGCAGCAGAAGGCCCGAGAGCGTCAGGAGCTATGGCAAGGCCTGGAGGAGCTGCGGCTACGCCGGCTACAGGGAACCCAGGGGGCCAGAGAGGCACCTCCCCTTCAGCGGCTTACCCCCCAAGTGGCCGCCATGGGGGGTCAGAGCTAGAGAGCCTCCCAGAAAGGGAGAATCTACACCCAGAGCTACCAGTCCCTCTATTCCTTCTCCTGCCTGGGGGCCCCGTGGGCTCTGAGGACTCCCTGTCCAGTCCAGAGTGGGCAGCTTTCACTGGGGAGACGAGGAGAGGAGATGGTGGTCTTGGCAACAGAACTCTCAGGCCTTGGTGGCAGGACTTGATCAGGGCAAGCTTGACCAGAAAGCTGCCGTCAGGGATTTTCTGCTGCCCCATGACGTCGGCTCCCAGCTGCAGGCAGGCACCCACCCTGCTCCCGGCCTAGGGCAGGGGCACTCAGCCCCTCATCTGCCCCTGCCTCGGGGTGGTGCGAGGTCCGTCCTCCTCCCCACTGTGGGGTCTGTGGTCTATTTATTCTTGCCCAGCTCACCCTCAACACAGACACTGTCCTGGGCCGGGGGCATCCTCCTTCCCTCCCTTCCCTTGCCCTGTACTTCCTTATTCTCTTTTTATTTATTGGGCAGGGGGAGGGGTGATGGCACAGGCAAGAAGAGATTCACAGTGTCCTGGGGACAGGGGTGGGGGGGGTCACAGTAATCATGATCTATCCCCCTTCCCCTGGCTGGGGGGTAGATTTAATAAAGAGAGAAACTTAAAAACTGCTTGCTTTATTTAGGGGTAGGGGCAAAGAGGGAAGTGAAATGACGAGACACTGGTTAGAAGGGCCAGGTAAAGACAGAGGCAAAACTCCCCTCTTCTCAGGAGGTGACAATCACAAAATCTTGAGGGTCATACCGGGAGCAACTCTCTCATTTTAAAAATCTCACAGCAAGTAAATGGCACAATTAGGACTCCTCCTAGTTTTTGAATCCCAGAACCAGGCTTTTCCCACCAGAACATCAAACTCTCTGACCCAAGGGAGGAAGGAGGGAAGAGTAATTTAGTAGCGTGAAAGGCGACACATGTCACACTGGCAGGCCTTGGCCGTGAAGATCTCGAGCTCCTCCTTCCGGTTGCCCACACACTGCAACCGCACCTTCACCTGTGCGAGAGGGGAATCCACCCTGCAGTGCCTTTTCCTGGGCCTTCGTAGATCCCCACCTCCTGTCTTCCTCCCACTCGCACTGTCCCATCACTGGGCTCCTCACCTTCCTCAGGCTGCTGATGGTGCAGCACTGAGAGACGGAGGTGATGTTGTGTCGATAGCCACTAGCCACCAGCACGGAGTACCGGGAAGGGAAGGCGCTGGACTCGCAGTGGCCCACACAAGCCTGTGCCACGTGGGAACCCTGGCAGGTGCCTTGGCGATCACTGCGCACCGTCACGTTGAAGGCTGGAAGGAGACAGGAAAGCTGCAGATGGCGTCTCTGCGAAGGCTGCCCTGGCTCCTGTGGTTTGAGCCTCAGCATGGGTCCATCTAGGGTGCCGCCTGCCCTGGTCCAGTCTATCGGCGCTCTGTATCCACCCAGAACCCCCACTGCTCCTAGCCCTCTGGTCCCAAAGTTACTCACGGTGCAAGTGGCAGCCTGGGATGGCTGCCTCCCGACCCCAGCCTTCAGTGATTGCCAGGACCAGCAGGCAGAGGAGCAGAGTTTGGGGGGACTCCATGGGCATCTGAAACACAGTGGGCAGATGTCGGTGTGGGTGTACAGGAGGCAGAGTTCTTTAAATACTGCATGTCTCCAGGTGCGTGAACCAGGGCTGGTTGGTCTTTCTGACAAGTAAGGCATGCTCACTGGGGCTGTCATTTCCCGTGTCCACCTCTGTGTGTGTATGTGTGTGTGTGTGTGTCTGCCTGCCTACTTTTGAGTGTCACTCGGCACGAGTGTGTGAGCGTGAGCCGCTGTCTCTGGATGAGCCTTGGGTGTCAGCCATCTGCAGTGATTCTGCCCTGGAATTTTCCTGGCCGTCTGAACACATCTTCCTCCCTCCATCTGCCCTGTCTTGGCCTTTGCCCTTGTCCATATCCCCAGGCCTCCCCGGAACTCCTTGAGCTCACCACTTCTGAGACCCAGGAACAGAGTGGTTTGCAGTCTCCCTGTGGCAGTCTCCTGCTGTTCTGCAGACTGGTGCTGGCTCTCCATGCTTTTATTTGCCCGTGTTTTGGAGCCACGCCCTCTTGGAGATCAGCTTTCAGGCCAGCCTCCCTGCCTGAGGCCTCAGAGCAATCCTACCTGGGAGATCCTGCTCTTTGAGGTGTGGTCCTCAGAGAGACCTCTTCTGCCTTCTGCTTATCTCTGTCCAAAAAGCTGCTTGTGGTCCAAGGCCAGAAGAAGTGAGATGTGAAGAAACACCCAGAAGCCTGCAGAGTATACAGTGTGTGTGTGCAGTGGAAGAGAGGAGTTGAGACTCTTGACTGGGTTGTGGCCACCTGGGTTCTCTTTGCTGTGTGACCTTGGGCAGGAGACTTTTATGTTCAGGCTCTCACCACCCCCAACCCTAAAATCACTGACCTCTGCCTTACCTGTCTCTTTTACCAACTGCAGAGGAAAGGAATTGGGGAGGAGATTTGTATGGACCAAGGATATTCCACCAGTGGGAGTCTCCTGAGATAGGCTTTGAGGCAGAGGCGGGGGGTGGGGGGCTGATGGGGAAGTTGGACTTCCACAGAATCAAGTGGTGACTTCTCATCCTGTGGGTCAGCTTAGAGAGTGGGACTCTGGGCTGGAGGGTCCTTCTAGACTTGGAAAAACAGGGACCTGATTCCTGAAAGGGTCTGATGCGGTCAACTCTAGCAAATCCAATTAGTCCAGCTCTGGTTTTACAGGTGAGGCAACTAAGGCTCAGAGAAGGAAAGTTACTTACTGGAAATTATGCAGCTAGTTATTGTCAGGGCTGATTTAGAACCAAAATCTGCTGTCCATCCATGGTGCTAAGCTGTACTTGGGGCAAGAACACAGCAAATTGGAAAAGGACCCCTAGTCAACAGTAACAGGAGATGGAGGGGCGCATTAGAGCAGAAGGAAACCTGTGGTGATTCTGGGCAGGGCCCTAAGGGTCATCACCTCAGTGACCTGCTCAGAGAGAGCAGTGCCAGTCCCGCAGACTGCCTGAGCTGGAAGGCACTTGAAAGTTCTTCAGGTCCTACACCCTCATTTTCCAGATGAGAAAATAAGAACCTGAGAGGAAAGCAGGTTTCCCAAGGCTTCACGGTAAGCTAGTCAGTCAGGGTGGGTGCTCAGATCTCTGGATTTGGGGGGTGGGCCTTTCAGCAGCTTTGTAAAGCAGGCCATGTTTGGGACAGTAGGGCAAAGGCTGTAAACATGATTTGAGAGGAACTGGAATTACGGGTATCGCCGACTCTCACATCCTCACAACCTTCTAGCTATCCCTGTAGCCCTCCTCCTCTTGAGTCCTGTGCCTTCACACAGCAGCCCACCAGCAGCAGACAGCAAAGCAAGCGGACTCCAAGGGACCTCAGCAAGCCAGCTCCCACAATCCCACTTGTTAAGGGAATCCTCTGGCATGAAACAGATAATCAGCTCTTTAAATCCTTCTGGCAACAAGGGCTCATTACCTCACAAAGTAGCCTATTCTAATACTGGACATCTCTAACCATTTAAAAGTGATCTGTGGGACCAGCAAATGATGTAACTGTTGTGTCGCTGGACTCCCACACTATGACCACAGTTCAAGTCCTGGACCCTGCGGCTTAAACCTCACATTGAGCGCATGTGCATGCATGCTAAAAATCCTGTGAGGAGAATGGAGAAGAAGGGATTGTGGTGTGGCCATCCCCCCCCCCCGGGGGGGGGGGCAGTGATTTCTCACTTTTTGTCTCTCTGGCAAGTGCACGTGCCCTATAGCAAAAAAATCTCTCTAAAAAAAATTATTTGTTCTGCGCTAAGATGAGTTTCCCTAAATTTCCACCAATTATTTCGATGCTTTGCAGCCACACAAGTCTAAACTGTCCCAGTTTAGCCCTTTGGTTGGAAAAAGAGCTCTGGTAATCTAGCCTTCTCCAGGGGCCCTAATTTGGACTTTCAGTTCATCAGATAAACTACATGGATTACCGTCAAAGAGCCAGAGGGATAGCTAGGTGGGAAGCATTTTACATGCGAAAAGGTTACATTTAGGGGCCAAACCAAATGAGCAGGCTCAAGAGTATGAGTCTTGCAGGACCCTGTTCCCTAAGTCCTGGCATTAAAGTTTAGGTGTGAGGTCAGAAACAGTCACCCAAAGTGATCCAGTAAACAATAACTAGGTAGAAGAAAGTTTCATGTTTCTCTGTTTCTTGAGGGAAGAGTTTATTCTCTCTCACTGTCTCTACTTCACTAAATTTAATCAATAACTCTTCATAAAAAATTTATTGTCATTAGGATCCTAAGTGCTGGAGACAAAAGACCTAAACTGGCCCTCAGGGCAGTGAATTTATCAGACTAGAACATTTTAGATAGTTCCATTCTTAGTGTTTTAAATCAGGAAGAAGAAGAAGAAGAAAAAAAGGCAAAGTAACACATTCCATTATAAAGGGTTGAAGGACAGAATAAACCCACAAGTATGAGTCTTGCAGGACCCTGTTCCCTAAGTCCTGGCATTAAAGTTTAGGTGTGAGGTCAGAAACAGTCACCCAAAGTGATCCAGTAAACAATAACTAGGTAGAAGAAAGTTTCATGTTTCTCTGTTTCTTGAGGGAAGAGTTTATTCTCTCTCACTGTCTCTACTTCACTAAATTTAATCAATAACTCTTCATAAAAAATTTATTGTCATTAGGATCCTAAGTGCTGGAGACAAAAGACCTAAACTGGCCCTCAGGGCAGTGAATTTATCAGACTAGAACATTTTAGATAGTTCCATTCTTAGTGTTTTAAATCAGGAAGAAGAAGAAGAAGAAGAAAAAAAGGCAAAGTAACACATTCCATTATAAAGGGTTGAAGGACAGAATAAACCCACAAGAGGACTCTGGCAGTTTGGAGCCCTCATTCCCCATGAATGAAGTGTCATAAGAAAAAGATGGAGTTGGAGAAAATGGCTCAGAGAAGTCACTGCAAGAGATGATGCACTTTCCACTGCTGCATTTGGACGTCACTGGCTGTTCTTCCTGAAGAAATAGCGAATCGGGAAGAGAGAGCTGTAGGAATGAGAGCAGAGAGGCTCAGACTCCTCGAGGTTTCCTTTCCTTCTCCCCAGTTCCCATTTAGTGCTTCATTAGCTAGGGCATTTTTGCTCTGGGGAACCACTCAATGGAAATTCAAGTCTAGAGCAGCATTTGAAAAGTTACCCAAATTAGATTGTGCTCCGAAGGGGGAAACAAAGGTAAAGAAGTGCAGTAGGAGGGCTGAGCTGTAGATAAACGGAGGGATTTGCTAACTTTTCTGTAAAAGCACTCTGAAGACACAACCTAGATTCAGAGGGGAGAGTGGAAACATTTCGGTAACCACATCATCTGAATGACCCAAGTAAAATAAGAATAGTCTCTGTTCAAGCAATGTTTGGACCCAAATGGACCCAAAACTCTGTCTTAATCAGGCCCTATGCTGGCATGACATGGTGGGAGTGAGTTGTGTAAAAATGAATACTTTTGTCCTTATTAAATTCATGTTTAGGGTGCTTGTTCTATATCTCATTTTTACCAAATATCCTGAACATGACTGAGAAATCTCTGCAAGTAATCTGCTTTCTTCTTTATACTCATTTCCCTGAAAGATCCAGTGAGGAAAGTTGTAGAGCTAGATTGCTGCTCTGGAGCTGGATCTATTTTATGACAGGAGAGAAGTTGGTCTTACCTTAGAAACCCAAAGAAGCCACTGGTTCCTAGCTCTTTAGGTGGAGGTGCGTTGTTTTGCTGCAATGGTGGTCCTGCCAGGAAGTCCCCCTGCTTAGAATCTGTAAAGAAAACACTCAGGCAGGAAAAAGGCTTAGTCTGTGGGCTTCTTACATGTGAGTAGAAGGCAGGACACCCATTATAAACCAAGGACAGCCTCACGCCAAGATTTGTTTAAACCCAGAATTGTTTGTTCTAATCTTCCCAATTTCACCTCAGCTCAGTAAGATGCTGTTCTGACCTTAGAATATTTTCAAAGTCAGGTTCCTGAGATATTTACCCAGCTCCAAGTCCCAGCTACCCATCATGGCAGGTATGTCTTCACATGGAATGACAACTCATTAAAGAATTCACTTGCTTACATCCATGCTTCTGTGGTAACTGCAGTCCACATGGAATCCTCATGCTGGGTAAAAGATCAGCAAGTTGGGAAGGCAATACCTCAACATGTGTTCCTGGCTCTCGCAGAGCATCCATCTGCACCTTCGATATTAATGCTGATGTTGCTAATGCTAATGCCCCGAATTGAAGAGAACATTCCCAGCGAACATGCTCCAAGCGCACAAAAAAGGGAAACACATACCTCATACATTTTCTGTAACATTTATCACCGTGGAAGCGTTTCAGAACTATGGGAGCATCTATTTTACTATCAGAAGCAGGGGAAGGGCATGCACCATTTCCTTTCACTTCTTTTAGGAACTGGGACTCCTGTTACTCTAGAAAGATTGCTAGGAGGTACCTTCATGGAGAAGGCACATCAGTCACTGAGGGTGCCTAGATTCAGAGCTCTGTGCTGTTCCGGTCATCAGAGAACTGAATGGGACAGGATGATTATTGAAGAGGATAAATATTAATTTTCCAGAACCTACCTTGCTCCTGGACATCAGTGATATCAGAGGCCAGGGTCTCCTCCCCTTCCTGCTGGCTTTTTCTTTCCCTGTTCTAATTCAAAGAGGACCAAGAAAAGTCTTAAACATGACTTCTCTATAGTTTGGTGATCTGAATACCATTTGCTGGTGAGCTGATTTCATACCAGCACAGGGGCCTACCTTCTGACTGCCCAGGTAGTTTCTATATTTCCTTCTACAGGGCTGCCCCTTTTTCTTCTCAGCTTCCTAAACACTGTCCCTCTAAAACTGTAAGATTAAAGGGCTGAGAACAAACCAAGCTGGGCTTAGTCATCATTCCATGTTACTGACTGTCTACTAAGGCTGGCAGAATATTGAGGTTTCAGAAATCAGGAGGTAAAACAAAAAAACACAAGCAAAAACCAACAACAACAAAAAGAAACAAAGAGCCATTAAAAAATAAATGAATCAGGAGGGTCTTTACTTTGGAGAAAGCATCATGTATGGAGTGAAACTAACACATACACTAGGTCAGTTGTCACTGTGTGATAGGATTTTCCCACAAATCTGTATAGAGTGCTATAGTGAGGAGGACACTAATGGAGTGGGTGGCAGTCAAGGAAGACTACATAGAGGAGATGTTATTTGAGTGGGCCTTGATGGCTGAGTGGGATTTTGTCACAGTGTGGGTGAGGATATGGCCAGTGCAAGTGGGGCATTCCAGACGGATACATGATATACAAGGGCACAGTGCTACTGAAGAGTAAATATGGGCCTAGCCATGGCACACGCTGCTAAAACCTTGCTGCTCCAGAGGCTGGGATCACATGGGAGGCCTGGGTTCAATTCTGGGTCCTACATGCGTGTGTGCAGTAAGATGCACCTGTAATTCCAGTGACTTAGGAGGCTGACTCAGGCAGATTGTGAGCTCAAGGTTGGCCTTTAATGGGCTAGCCCCACAGCACAGCAGTTAAGCCTCGTGCATAGGGAGTCAGATCACACATGTCTGACTGTAGTTCAAATCCTGGCCCCAGCAGCTTGAGAACCATGCTGAGCATATGTATATGTGCCCCAAATCCTAATAGGATGGAGAAATGGAGGAAAAGGTATTGTAACAAGGCCATGCCCTACTTGGGAGGAGGGGGTGCTTTCCTTGTTTGCGCTCTATCTCTGGCATATATACATACCCTCTGGCCTTAAAAAAATAATAATAAAAGGGGATGACCTGGGCATGGTGACACCATGTCAAAAACAAACTAACAAATGAACAATCCAGACATGGCAGGGTACATCTGTAGTCCTAATTGAGAGTAATAATAAATAAACTTAAATTTAAAATTTATTTATTTATTTATTTATTTAAGGGATTGCACTATGACCAGCATGGCCGTCCCTCATAAACGGTCCTTTTCTTTTTTGTAGAGGTTTTTGCTATGGGGCACGTGTGCTCACCAGAAAGACAGAGAGAGACAGAGAGAAGGAAAGAGAGAAATCACCCCCCAGGGGAGATGGCCACACCGCAATCCCTTCTCCTCCATTCTCCTCTCAGGATCTTGGGCATGCACCCACATGCGCCTGGTGTGAGTTTAAGCCACTGGGTCCGGGATTTGAACCACAGTTGACTACATGGGAGTCCAGCGACATAGTTATTATGCTAACTGCTGGTCCCAATTCTTTTTTTATTACATTTTATTTATTTACTCATTTTAATTTGAACAGAGAGGGATGCAGAGAGAAAGAGAGAGAGAAAGAGAGAGGGAAAGTGAGAGAGCAAGCTGCCAGGTCTGGTACTTGAACCGTGGTCAGCCATGTGGGAGTCCAGTATCCTTAACCACCATGCCACTGGCCCCATAAAATAATTCTTTTTTTTTCTTTTTTATTATAAAGAATTATTTTATTTAACTTTATTCATTGTCATTATTTTATTTTTTATTGTATTGAAGTTGACCAGAGAGAGACAGAGAGAGTGAGAAAGCAAGCTGCCAGGTCTGGGAGTTAAACTATGGTCAGCCATGTGGGAGTCCAGGTATCTTAACTACCATGCCACCTGCTGGCCCCAATAAAATATTTCTTTAAAAAAAAAAAAAGAATATGATCAGCATGGCTAGAGCTAGGCGCAGTGGAAACATAACACAATGTAATAGTAAGCATGATACAATGCAATTAGCATGCAATCTTATTTTTACATGTGCTACTGCTTTGTATTTTGAGGAGGCCTTCCTACAACCTGGTTTTAGGCCCACAACATTTCCCATTTAACAGCATGATAGTGAAAAATATTTTTTATATATGTTTTGGGGGAATCTCTGCCAACTGACCACTCTCCTCACCCAGCCTGACTACCCAGCAGTGTTGAAGGTCCTTGAACTGTTGTGCTACTGAACAATTCTATAGCAAGGGCCTACAGACTGTAAGGAGGGTTCCGGGAGCCTGTAGCATGGCAAGCCCCTTTGGGAAGTTAGGATGAACCTCCATAAGCCTCAGGTTAGAAAGGCAAGTATTTCTGAGGTAAGCTTTTTTACAAACCCTTCAAATTCCAGACTACATAGGCAGCAACCTAAGTTGTATTCCTTTAAAGCTTTGAAAGGGAACTCTGTGGAGAAAGGAGACCGTGCTTACTTTTTATAGACAGAATGGAGATGGAATCTAGCGGGCCCCGCTCTGGTTTCTGACTTCAGGGACTGATTCTTACAAATTTAATTAAACTATGGTTGGGGTTTAAATCCTGATGACCAGAGGGGCCCAAATGAGAGCATCATTCAGGTTGGTAGTAGGGACCAGAGGGCAAAGATGGAGCCTTCCCCTGAACCAGGAGAGCTTCTCCTCACAAGATAAAACAGTTTTGGTGCTTTCTTGAAATCTTGACAGAGGTCTTCTCAGGCAAAAGTCTTAAGAGAGGAAAAACGTTATAGCCTGAAATAAGACTGAAGATACCATCAGGGACATTCGTCAGGACACGACACCCTAAAATCCTGATCCATAGTGCATGTTTAGGGAAGATTTGTGTAGAAGTGCAGTTCAAGTAGAGGTGGCTAAATAAGTAAGAGGCCACGTGCAATCATTCTGTTCTACTTCTGGGCTTTTCATCTGTAGGTCTCTAGGTCTGAGACCTAAAGTAACAAAGGGAAAGGTCGGCCTTTCCTTCTATTTTCCTCAAACACCTGTAAAACAGATACGGGTTGCATCCCTCTAAGCCTTCTCCACACAGGCCCCGATATGTTCAGACGTGCATAGTCTACTATACTGTGATCCAACACCCTGATTTCCCCCAAATGAGGGGAGAAAATATTAAGCATTGGACCATAGGAGCAAATTCAATTTTTCCAGCTCAAGGGACTTATACTGAGAGTCACTGTGATCACTTTAATGTAGGAGAAATCCTCTCCCTGGGAACAGGTCTATGAGGGAGACTGTCTTTGGGCTTGGAGTCAAAATCAATAAACATGTTCCTTTACTCAGAGTTTTTTTCCCCAACTGCGACTCAAGTTGAAAGGTAATTATGTTGAGTAAGAAGCTGTGGGTACTGTTCTTGAGGGAGATGATGTGTCAAACTAAGAATAGGAAGGTACGAAGAGTAGGGAGTGAGGGAGATGTTCCTTTAATAGTAATTATCCTGGCTTTATAAAGTGTCTTTGTTCTCTGGAGCTTCGTGTACTCCTCTTGTACTTTCTCATTCCTTATTCTTACCTCTTTAAAAGATGAGAGGCATAGAAGGGGTGACTGCCTAAAATCACTCAGTGCCCATAGAGGTAGGGTGCCCAAATCCCCAAGGGTGCACTCCTCCTTCAACTCAATTATAAGCTCCTGGAAAGAAGAAACCAGATTCTGCATGTGTTTGGATGTGCCCCAGCACCCAACACAATGCAACAACTCTTGCAACATTCCTCTACTTTAAAATGTTTTAGGGAATTCCCGTGACCTTGAAGGTGGCCTCCAGGCTTTTCATGATCTAGTCCATGCTGATCTCTCTGGTAACATTTCTTAGCACTGTATACTTATCGTCAGACACACTGGTTTGCAAACACCAAAACTGTATTCTTCCTCTTGGCCTGACCTGAGCTCTTTAAGCTACTCTGAGCTGCTCTGGGAACCCTTCCCTCACAACCACTTTGTGTTCCCTTCATACTCTGTGCTTCCTTCTATCTCCACACATAGCACATCCATCAGCAACTGTCTGCCTAGCCTTAAACTGCTGGTGTTTTAGGGGACAGCATGGTATCCCTGGTATTTAGCATATGGCAGACCCTCAATGGAAATCTGTGAAATGAATGCTTATGTAAATGTTTGTTCAATAACTGATCATTTTCAAAAAATAATTGACCACATTATAGGTACTGGGAAGGTGAAAGGGGTGAGTTGTTAGTGTTTAGGTACTTAGGGTCAGAGCTACTTTGGGACATTAGAGAAGATAAAGAGAAAGATCCATAAAGCATGTATAATAGCTAGCAGCTATTTAAAGAGGGGAGGAAAAGAAAAAGGGCACTATTTCAGAGACTAAAAAAAGAAGCTCTGAAATGGAGGAGTAGCAGTTATATGCATATCTTTTTTCCTTATAATTATTTTTATTTAACCTTATTTATTTGCTTATTTTAGAGTAACGGAGAGAGAGAGAGAGAAGTAAAAAAGCAAGCCTGGTCTGGGACTTAAACTGCCGTAGGCAATATGGGAGTCGAGAGCCCTTAACAACCACACCACCTGCCGGCTCCATATGCATATCTAAACAGGAGTAGGCCTCATAAGGAAATCATATAACATCAGAGGCCAGCACATCATTGCTCTACAAGTTTTCTCTTGCCAGTTTACAGTGCTGATATATGCCTAGCGCATCTGTAAAAACTAGATGTTTCTAGACTCAGACCCCATGGTAGATGAAGGCAAAAAGTTTTGTAAAGAGAAAATTCTATCCTGAATCCCACTTCAATTCAGCACAGACCAATTATTTTCCTATTTAGAATGAAGAGTACAAGAAACAGCTTTTTTTTTTTTTTTTTGAGTGGTTTTTGCTATAGGGTGCGTATATTCCCAGAAAGATAGACAGAGAGAAAGAAAGCAAGAAACCACCCCTCAGGAGGAATGCCCATGCCACAATCCCTTCTCCTCCATTCTCCTCTTGGGATGGGCACGCATGCACACGCACCCGGTGTGAGGTTAAGCCATCAGGTCTGGGACAGGAACCGCAGTCGACTACATGGAAGTCCAGTGATGTAGCCATTACGCCATCTGCTGGTCCCAAAAAACAGCTTTTTTCTTTAAAAAATAATTATTTTATTTAGCTTTAGTTATTTATTTTCATTTGACCAGAGAGGGACAGAGATAAAGAGAGAGAAATTGAGAAAGTAAGCCGCCAGATCTGGTACTTGAACCACAGTTGACCATGTGTGAGTCCAGTGCCCTTAACTACCACGCCACCTGCCAGCAAGAAACAGTTTTTTAAGCTGGACAAAAGGACCTTTTAACAACAGGATTCCTTGATGTGTGTATTATTAAGCCACTTTTGGGACAGGTTGTGGCGAAAGCAGAGTAGTTGAATGTTGTTCTGCAGACAGTGTAACCTGAGTATGAGTTCAGTCAATTCAATCTACACCAAGGACCAAGATGTGCTGGTAACAGGAATCCCGACTTGTAAGAATAGGATGGCCAAGAGCCTTGAAGCTTCCTTTTTGATGCTTACCATCCTGGTTTCCGCAGGGGGCTTCTTTTTGCTGGGGCCTTGGTTGGAAGTCTCCATCTTGGCCCTAAAGTGGGGGGTGCGGAAGCCCAGGAAATGTTACTGACAGTGGCAACATTACTGTATTCAAGCAAATGTGGCCCAAATGAATATTTCATAGCAGGCTGGCTATTTTTATACCACTCCTGGCCGGCAGAATAAATTGTGTGGCCAAATTTTCTTTGGGTGCTTCTTTAACTCACAGTAGAATCCCAATTTGAGACACTTACAGATCTGGGGTTTGAGAAAAGGAAAATGTGACTGACAGCAAGTACCAGATTGTGAAATACCTGATTGTGCATCATAACCTAGAGAAAGGGAAGATCTGGGGCCTCATCTTCATGGAGAATTCAGCTAAATGGAACAGAACAAAGCTTCCCACTTCCAGAACCCTCACGTTCCACCTGGCTCTGAAAGGAGCTCACTTACATGTGTGCCTAGAGGGCACAGGGGTCAGCTCGCTTGTGGCCCTACCCTCTATTTTTTTTTTTTTTTTGAGAGTTTTTTTGCTGTAGAGCGCGTGCGCTCGCCAGACAGACACAGAGAGACACAGAGAGACAGAAAGCGAGAAATCACCCCCCAGGGGGGATGGCCACGCCGCAATCCCTTCTCCTCCATTCTCCTCTCGGGATCTTGGGCATGCACGCACACACGCCTGGCGTGAGTTTTAAGCCATCGGGTCGCGAACCGCAGTCGACTATGTGGGAGTCCAGCGACATAGCCATCACGCTAACTGCTGGTTCCCTACCCTCTATGTTTAGGAGCCTACATATCCCAGTAAGAGAGAGGCTGCGCTCTGTGAACCAAGAGTAAAAGCACCTTGAGCTTTCAAGGAAAGCAAATCACACTTTAGATTATTTCCAGCAGCCTTTCCTGGGATGCTGATAAGAATGACCAAATTGTCTTACTGACTCATTTTGTCTCTGACAGAAAATCAAAACAGCAGAGTAAGAAGCCTCCTCACAACACCTTCAACATGCTAGAGATACATTAAACATTCTTCCTAATATCACAGTACCTCACCCAATAATTGAAACATTTATTTATATTTTAACCTAGACTGCCTTTTTTTTTTTTTTTTTTTTTTTTTTTTTGAGAGGTTTTTGCCATAGGACGTGTGTGCTCACCAGAAAGACAAAAAGAGACAGAAAGCGAGAAATCACTCCCCAGGGAGAATGGCCATGCCACAGTTCTTTCTCCATTCTCCTCTCAGGATCTTTCTTTCTTTCTTTCTTTCTTTCTTTCTTTCTTTCTTTCTTTCTTTCTTTCTTTCTTTCTTTCTTTTTTTTCTGGGGGGGCGGGAGGAGAGGTTTTTGCTATAGGGCTTGTGTGCTTGCCAGACAGAGAGAGATAGAGAGACAGAAAGCAACAAATCACCCCCCAGGGGGGCTGGCCACACCGTAATTCCTTTTCCTCCATTCTCCTCTCTCCTCTCAGGATCTTGGGCATGCACGCACACGTGCCCGGCGTGAGTTCTAAGCCACCAGGTCCGGGACACGAACCGCAGTCGACTACGTGGGAATCCAGCGACATAGCTAACTGCTGGTTTCCAAGTTTCTGTGTAATATTCTGAGACTTAAGTCCTATGCCTTCTTGAGTTCTTTTTTTTTTGGTGAGTTTTTTTTTTTTAACTTTATTTACTTATTTTTATTTTGATCAGAGAAAGAGAGGGAAAGCGAGGAAGCAAGCCACCAGGTGTGCGACTTGAACCATGGCTGGCCATGCCCTTAACCACCATGCCACCTGCTGGCCCCAGTCCTACACCTTCTTGATAGAACTACCATAGTAAATATTCAGTGAATGTATTGAATTTAATTGTACAGATGTGATTGTACTTCCTCTCGGCCTTCATCTTGATGGATAGAACAATCCTACTTTGCTGAGAGCAACTGTGTTCAAATTACACTGCAAATATCAACTTGCTTCCTTTCCTTCATCCACCCAGTGGTATAGGTCAGCATTGATTAAGCCCTGAAAAAGAAAGCGACTCGCCCAAGAATAGGATCGACCAGGAGCAGTAGCTGGCAAAGTCCAACTGCTACGCAGGAGTTAGTCTCTTTCCCCACGCCACTGACCTGTTCAGCCTGGGCCTGCTGGGAGAGCTGGGCTCTTCCATGCACTTTCGTTTCCTCATCATGGCTTCTGCTGCTTTCTCCTCAGCTAGGACCTTCAGAGAGGAACCAGACTTCTGTGACTCTTCCTTTTCCAGAATTGTTCATAGTCCATGAGGACACACTAAAGATAACTCATCTTTAAACTGCCAAAGGCAACTTAAAAAAATTATTTTATTAATTATTATTATTTTTAAAATTTGCTATAGGGCATGTCCATGTACCAGTGAGAGACAGAGAGAGGGAGCGAGAAAGTAAGCCACCAGGTCCAAGACTCAAACTACAATCAGCCATGTGGAAGTCCAATGCTTTAACCACCATGCTACCTGCTGCCCCCCCCTCCCAAGGCAACTTTTAATACCAGGTTTGCAAGTAAAGAGAAACATTCTGTTAGAGACATAGTCACAGAAATTTAGCCAAGAGGGAAATAGGTCTCATGTTTACATTTCTGATTGAACTTGCTGGCAACTGAGGGGCAGGGGAGGAGGA